GCTTCGTTTTAAAGCGATTTCATCACACGCTAATATCCCTCTTGTTTTTCCTTCCTATGTGTATGTCCCATTCTTTTACCCCTTATAGATTCTTCTCTATTGTCTTTAAAGTTGTGGTAGCTTTAGAGTTTTCTCATCAGTGCGCTGATATTGAAAAAGGACAACGTTCCGCGTTTAGGAAACTGTTTTTCTTGAGTTTGAGGGGGAAAGACATCGAACCCAACTTCAGAGACTGGGCAAATCGTTCCCGTTTCCTAGCAATAGTTTGTATGGCTAACAATAAAACACCTAGCTAGGAGAGGCTACCATTCGTGTCTCATTGGGGTTTCATTTCAACCCTAGCATGGGCAAGAAAGAGTTTAAAACGGGTTCCCAGTAACAACAGGATTTGGAGGAGGACCGTGACTGCTCATTTTGGGGGGAAAACTCGGTGTGGTTAGAGTAGCTCTTGCCTTTGGGGGCTTTCCCTTGATGGCACAACTCCCCTTAAGAGGGGGGAAGACATTTCTTGTCGGAGGTTTAGCCTTTTCCCTTCTTTTCCATTCATGAACCCGATGGCTATAGACACAGCTTGAATATTGACGTCTCTTCCCCCAACTGCTCCTGCGTTAACCCAATTACAGAATTCATCAAGAACTGCGTTGGATTATCTCTTTCCATACAGTATCAGCATTAGCCTAATTAAAAGCTATAATGTCTGATATAATGATTAAATCGTTAGCTCTGCTGTAGGGAAGCAATATTTTGTTTTCCCTTCAATTAGAAGCTGATTGAGGTTTTCAGAGCAGGTCAGCTGTGAAATTTGAATTATATGTGCGAGTACTGTTCACAGGGTGAGCCCCTACTCGAAAGCTCCAGAGATTCTCCGAACGTTTTCCCCCCAGCGAGCAAAGGAGCGACAACAGAAAACACACAGAGAGCGGATATATTTGTTCTAGGGTGGGGGAGTTAGGAGCGCCAGATTAATTGTTGGTGTTGGAAAGGGAAGCGGGCTGTGTTTATTTACCCTTGTCTCAGGCGCTAGCCAGCCCACCTGGCTAATACTTTACGTCCAAAGCACCATCACAGTCTTGCAAAGTTACCCACCCACTACAGGCTAGGTTTTGGGCTCGGCTGGCCTGTCCCCGGTCCCGATGAGCCTCCGAGCTGGACTGCAGATGCAGAGGCGGTTTTGATTTTGCCCTGACCGGGACCCAGTTCCACAAAGGCAGGGGCCACATGGAGGCTGTTTAAAGCCTAGGCAGTGGAGGGGGGGGGGGCTAGCACGGGTATTGTCACGGGACTGCAGTGGGACTGGGGTGACGCTGGCGCGGGGGCTGGAGGGGGCGGCAGCAGCGGGCTGCGGGCACTGCTCGGGGCAGGGGAGCAGAGCCAGGCAGCGAGACGTTGTTTCGGAGGCACTCTGCAGCCAGCAGACGGCGAACGCA